AAGGAAGAATATTTTAAAAACTGGTGCGACGTTTCGATCACTGGTGTGATCATTCTCAAGTACACAAGAGAATGATCGCACCAGTGATGCAACGTCGTACCAGTTTTAAAAATGTTTTTACTTACTATAAAAGCTGTAACTTGTAGTAAAATAATTCTAGGATTGTTAATTTATCAAATGAATAATTTTCACCTGAAGAAATTAAAGTTTTGAATTTAGGTTTGAATTTTTTATTAGTGTTCAATTTTCAGCTAAAAGAGCTTTAATTGTTTCTACCGAAATTTGCTTTAGAATCAAAGATTAATAATGATATCATGAAGAATATAGAACAGTTGTGGCCAACAAACTATCAACTTCTACTTTTAGGTTTAAATGTATTATAAGTAATTTTGAGGTAAAACCACTTTATATGATTAATAATAATATTGTAGTTACTAAAGCTGATAAGGGTGGCCAAATTGTAATTTTAGACAAAAATGATTATATTAGCAATATTAAGGAAATGTTATAATTTATTTTGTTTAAAATTTCAAATTTACCTACCGCATTGCTTCATAATAAAAAAACTGTTTTCAAAAATTGTGTCACTTTGCCTCATAATAGAAGGAAATATCTTACACCCATGAAGTTTATTTTGCTTCCGTTTATGTCCTCCTGAAAGTCCATAAAATTGATATCATAACCTGTTTCCGTCCAACTGTGGAAAGTATCAGTTCTTCGTCCCACTTGGTTGCTGAACTTATTACTAACATACACCTTTTTAACTATCTCCCATATTTATATGATAAAAAGTTCATTACAATTTATAAACAAACAAAAAATGATTTGGAACCAATGATTCAATTAGTCTCATTTGATGTAGTTTCTTTTTTCACGAATACTCCTGTAGAAGATACATTAAGTTGCTTTGAATATTGATTATTTTTTGATAGTGTAAATCTTACCCGATGCTATGTTTTTAACACATATTTTTAAGTTGGGGGAAATTTTACAGGCAGAGTAAGGATTTAGTGATGGGATCCCCTTGTCATCCTTTTATGTGAACTGTTTATGCTTTAATAAACCGGTTGTGTGGTCGAGATGTGTGGATGACACGTTCCTTGTGTGGCATCATGGTTAAGCGATGTGTTAATTGTTTTGATAATCCATACAAGTTTGGTCAGCACTAACATTCAGTTCACACTAGAAACAGAAAAGGAGGGTTGTTTAAATTTTTTTAATGTGTTTTTAAATCTTCTATCAATGGCAACATACTTTACAACATTCAATTCCGATATTGAATTTTTATGAGAGATAAAACTTATTAAAGCCATGAAAACAAACACAGAGAAAGCAGACACTTTTTTGTGACAAAGGGTTACACAGTTTCCTGTGTCGGAATGATAAACGAAAATGGTTTTCTTTACAATGATGTCGAAAAAAAAACTTTTCTTCTGGCTTAATCATAGAAGTATCGACAGGATTTCTAACAAGTAATGTAATAATATAAATGTATCACAATGTATAAAATTACTTGTGAATACTTACTCGGACAGTATGAGGATGTGCTTCCCATATGATAAGGTGTTTCTTCACAAATAGGTAATATATATTAAAACCACATTAATTGTGGTTGTTTAAGTTCAGTTATAAAATTTTCCTTCTTAACTGATGCATAATTTCTAAAACCTACTTCGAAGGCATCCATTAGACAAGCTTTATTTCATAACCAGTTTAATATTAAAAGTAGATTGTAGTTATCTAAACGAATTGAGAACTGGATACGCAAAAATTACAACTAACTCAGCTTGTTTATAGCTCGGGGTACGATATCCTGAACCGATAATTCTCATTCAAGTGAAATGGAATTCAACACATATCAAACTATTATACTAGATTATAAACATTTTGAATATCTAAGTGACACAAGGACTATTTGCCACGGTGAAGATATCAATTTGTTTGGGTGCATTCTTTTTGATTATTCAATAAACATAGTGCAAGGTCTGGTCCACTTGATAAAAAAGAAAGTGATTTATTTCTTTAACAGTCATTTAGTGGCAAACTCTCTACTTTGCAAAAAAAAAAAAAAGCAGTTAACTTGTTTTTCTATCAATTTTGAGCCTATTGGTTTCCAATATTTTACTGTCTTTCGGTATTTAAGCCCAAACTATATTTTGTTGAAATACAAATTCAAACTTTACAGTGCTGAACTAAAGTACTAACTAATTAACTGATCAAGTCACAGACTATGCAACTCACTTATTAGTTCACTCAGTGACTAACTTGCTAACTTTATGGTTAACTATGGTGTGTTTACATAATATTTTTCCCAAAATCTCACGAAAATTTGAAACGTCACATCAAATCTAAGCACCCAGGAAACTTATGCATCATACATAAATAAAGCAATAATATAATAAACTTAAACTTACATAATTAATAACCAACTCACTGTTTTCATTTAACAAAAATTACTATTATTAAATAGACATTATAATAACTAAATCGTTAATTGAATCTGTTAATCAAAGTAAGATCAAAGTTTTGATTAACATAATAAAATATTTGCTATCTTATTTACTGTGTAAACTATCCATTCACCAAATATTTTCGGTGATTTTCTTTTCCGAGGCTTATGGTGTGAACATGGGCTAACCTTTTGCCCTTTATCACTTGTTGTCTTGTCACTGGGTAGATGTTCAAGGAGATACACAAATGGCTCCACCCTTGGCGACACTCTGGAGATAGTCTTGACAGAAACATGAAGCTCTTCAATAGATTGATTTATCTCTGGTGAAGTTTTCTTCTTCTTCTGAAGTTAAGCAGTTGGTTGATCTCCTATTGATGTCATTCTAAAACGATCATAAGACATGAATTTTAACTTGGGTCACGTATTTTTGTGGATTATGTTCTGTTGGACTCCAGGTCACCTCTCTCCACTAACCTGTGTCCTCATTTTTGTTGTTATTTGAATGAAGTCCAACCTTTGGTAGTGTAATTGAGCATGAGATTGCTTCGTAAACAAACTATGAATGTTATCTAACCTCACCTTGATCTTCTTTTAATTCTTCTTTCTACTGTTTCATCATCTCCAGCAAACATTTGTTCAAACTTCGAGCACATGTCGCAATCTTGAAATTTAACTAAATTCTATTTTATTTTTCACTAAAACACCCTCATTTCTGACACCAATGTTGTAACTGATTTTATCATTGGGCAGGTTTGTTTTTTATTAAATAAAACTAATACAAAGTCTCGTACACTTAAGAATAATGAAAGCGATTTATTTCTTCAACTTAAAGTTGTATAACTTACTCGGTTTCACAATCTAGCATACAAGTTCCACAAGCTCTCTACTGTGTTGAAATAAAAATTTACGGTGTTGAGCTGACTAACTAACTCACTCATCAACTCATCCACTATATCTTTAATTGACTGCTTAACTCTGTTGTTTTTATAAACTATTTGGCTTTCCCAAACTTTCACGAAAATTTTAGATGTAGTGTAAAATCTAGACACAGAACATTTCTAGGCATAACACATTACCATTACATCATGCCAAAAATCTCTTTCGCAAACAATACAAAACAACTAAATTAAAATACTAGAACACAGCTTACAACAATATAATCAAATTTAATCTTGCATAGTTAATTTTGAATATATATATTTGTTCAGGGTTTTGTAATAAAAAGTAGCAACAATGTATTTAGTATCTTCTTGGTAAATTGGATATTTAAAAGTCATAATAACACACTAATTCCCTTCCTTAGGCAAAGGCTACATATCTTGACAGTTATCTTATACGAAGGTTAATTACGTTATATTAAAACGATTTTGAATAAGCAAATAATGTGACAATCACATCCATATAGTCTAGATTGAACAGAATGCATTAGAACTACATTTGAACGTTGTCTGGCGTTTATAGGTAGTGTGATGCTAAAGAGTGTGAAAAGAGTATGTAGAAACTCTTTCTAATGCAAAATATACATACTTTCAGAACATAAAGACTTAGAGTTTCTAGGATGGGGATTTCCCTTGTAATTAACTGCATTATGAAACAAAGGAATGTGGATTAACTTAGAGAACCAGAACAGGGTATAAAATAAACTTGCAACAAGTTGTACCCCACCCGTGGTGAGTAGTGTGGCATCTTGTAACAGGCTAGAATCCCTAAACAGTGGTAAAGGTTGTCAACGTTCCCTGGTAATAGTATGTGATATAACCAAGAAGAAGCTTAATTAGATACAAGGTTGTTACGTATTATAATTTCGAATAGTCTGAAACAGAGTTAATTGATAATTTAAATTTAGCAGTTTAAGGGATACAGTATACTAAACTTTACACATTATATAGGGGTACACTAACGTGACGTTTAAGCAGTTCATTTAACTATTATACGTGATGTACGTTTTTTTTTGTGGGGGTATAATGAAAGTGTTCCAAAACGCGACATTAATTTCTTAACAACCTAATATATACTCTTTTTGGCGCGTCGTGTTGGTTATATTTATAGGCGTGTGAAGGCTTTCTCGAAATTTCATTTCTACGTAACAATACTGATACACAATGATACACCCTTATTTGACAGAGTAGGTCTTACTCCAACCACAATTGGTCCCGAAACTAGGTCTGATGTTAAATAAATGTTATGAATAGGAACATTAAAAAAGCCGCCCTCAATACCCTGAGCAATAACAGACTCACCAGTGACAGAACTCGAATCTAAAAGTAATATACCTTCTAACAACAATGATTGAGTCGCCCCAGTATCACGTATAATGCGTATGGGATTGCCAGTGTCATTTGTCAAAGACACAGAACCAACAGACACAAAAGGTCTAAATTTCTCCCTGATTACATCAGCCTTTATATCAGTGGCCATATCAACAACGATATCTGTCGAACACTATGGCTACTATGGTGAAAAGTTCACCATTTGATTGGATCATGCATCATAGAAATGACTTATGAACTATGAATATCTAGAAGGTATGATTTGAAATTGGATTACAATGTTGTACGAGTGCAACTTCATTATGTATCATCACAGGGTGACTTATCACTTTGGAGAATGTTCAGATCCTGGACATCATGCAGCCATAAAAGCAATTGCAGCAGCAATGATAAATTACTCAGGTAGTGTTTTACTAAATGCCAAACTCCATGTATCATGTATCATCCTCACTTCGATGGTTTCGTTCAATGGGTTATACAGACTGACAAATTTGTGTTGCAAAGCTAGTAAATCTTGACCACACTAACTTGGATAAATACCGAGTTGTAGCTATCAGTGTGATGTATGGGCATTTGAATAAGAGAGGCGGTAAAGGAATGCATTAACTGATACACACGAATCTGCAAATAAAGAGCTGGGTAAATTAACCATACATCAAAAGAAATATCAGGACAAAACATACGGGAATAATTGTTTGTGTATGAAAATTGCATGACTAATATGTAATACAGCAAGGAGGAAACACGTTTCTTTCTGGACCAGTCTTTATACAGCTCAATTTGACAAATTATAAGTTACAGTGATCATGTGGCATAAGCACGAACACATGCTAGAACACATGCTACTGACAGACCTCTCAAGCACTATCTGGAGTAGTGGTCAAAGGCTTAAGAAATAGATAAGTCAGGTGATAGCGAAAGCCTTATGTCATATCAGTTTGGCCCAGATAAGACAAAGAGGAAGTGATAAGTACCTCACTGGCTGTTCATGATGAGTTAAAAGAGGAATAATCAATAACAGAACATTTCTCTAGTTCAGATCAGCTATGACATTAACATTGATCTCTAAACCATTAAGGCTGGAATTAAAACCAGACAGGGTATGAGATAACTGATCTGGTTATCATCTGATCGCTAGAGAGTTCAATACATAAAAGAAAGAGTTAAAATTGTCACAAAGCATGTAAAAAGCATTCTGAACACATTCACAACTTAAAACAAAAATGTAGTTATAAGCCTATTATGCTCTGACTGAACTAGGAATTGGTGGGTTGGGGTGACTGATGAGTTAATTAAAAACAATGAAGAAACCGCAGGTACCCGTGGCTGTTTGTGGAGTGTCAGAGGTAGCAAAGTTAATAGTACAAAGTACTGATATAATAGCATAGAAGAATACATATATCTGCAAACTTACTTATAGATAAAAGCATGTAGATATATATAACATACATAACGTATCCTCTTCTAAATCCTAGGATTTTAATAGTTTATTTGTTGATTTACATATATTGTTTATGTACCACTGTCGGTTCGATTTGTTTGAATGATTTAAATTCAATAATAGTTGATATTATTGTTAATATGATCTAAACCTTCTAGAGGCATGTATTAGGGTTGATTAAGTGATGATAGTGTTCCAATTTAGTTTCAATTGGAAAAGAGAACTTGTAGAATATCGATTGGTCCTGAAGAAGCTGTAATTGAGAAATGTTAACAGCATGTTATTATTTTATTTATATTAACAGTAGAAATAGTTTCCTGTCCAGAATTTCAGCCATAGCCTTGATATGAGTCTCTGAAAAGAGATAGTTCCTATCGATACTATCAAGTGGTGTTTCATACGAAAATGTCTAAATAATATTTTTGTTAGCTATTTGATGGTAACAGCTCATAGATGGCACTACGTTAGCAGACAGCATGGTTACGGCGTTGTTAGTCAACCAAAATGGTGATCGTAGTTTACTATTGGTTACAAATTATACGTACCATTGTTGGTCTGACATATAGTTATACGAAAGTACTTAATATGTACTATTATGTGTGTGTCTAAATAAACATGGGTATGATAACATTTTTCGTCACACACAATAATTTCCTTATGCATTTTTATCGCACACACAAATTTATACACACAGCTCAATTTGAAATAATAAAAAAATTTGGCAGAATATCAAAATGTTGTATTTGGTAAATGATTCTGTATAAGCTTACAACTATTGTGTTTTCTGTGTATATTTGGTCTTGGTAAAGAACATGCTTATTTTATCTTAAAACTAAAATATTCATAAGTATGTGTTGTTGTTTTTTCAATGACGGAGGCTAAGGCTGTTATAGAATTTATATCAAACCAAAGAAAAAAACAGAAAGAAATAGTTCACTTAGGTGCAATTAAGATATTTCTAGATTTTGTAGCTTTGTTTTGACAAAGTGAAATCACCATTACTAGCTTGTTTCGGAATGAAAGAAATGATAACTCTGGGATTTTTCTTAGAAAGGATTCTGTATTGCCAAGTCTGGTCATTTCTAAGCCTATGACACTTGCTGAACTATTGACTTAACAGAAGTTGAATTGAATTGGCATGTCCCTAAATTGATAGCAATAAAAACTGCGTTCTTGAACAGCGGGTATAACTGTTATCTGTCTCATTTTTGTACTAAAGAAGGCTGCGATGACTTCTGTTTTCCAGCAATCCCACGCACCTAACTTGAACAACTTACGTTACTATACTGCTTTACAAGAAAGTCACCACGACCATTAATCCATCACCCATACACCTCTAGATGCTCCAGCCACTGCCACAGCAACTCCATCTGCATTGCCTGAACAATCTTCAAAACAGCTTCCAACCAAGAAAACCATGAAATACAAAGGCGTAAGGAGGTTTCATGTCTTGTTCACAGGTGTCGTTTAGTGAAGCCCACAAGATCCCCAACTTAAAAACAAAAGTCTCATACCTATAAATGAGCATTTTAAGGATGATACAGTCTTTGTCATCAAGAAGATCCTTTATGCTCACCACAATAACTGTCTCAAATAGCCAGACTTTTTCTAAAGTCACCTGTCTGACATTATCGGGAGGAAGTAGCTCAGTCACTCAAGCTGCCCAGTGGACAAAGAATTCGGCACTGATGCAAAAGGTGAAAGACGTAAATAGAGGGTGAGACATTAGAAAGTCTAGAAATAATCAAACAGGATCAAGGAGAGCACCTGTTTGATACTCTCTGAGAACTGTAAGTTTACATCCACCCTGAATAAATTTCTGCTGTCCACCTAATCAGTCTTTCACTCTTCTGGTCACAGGTTGGCCCTTTGGTAGAGTTATGGATTTCAGAGTTGGCAAGCCAAAAATATTACCGACATGCTAAGCTATGGGGTGTCATTTGTAATGCTGATGGGTAGTAGGGTGCTGATAACTGACTGTCTTCCCTTTGTTCAGTAGTTCAAAACTAGTAATAATGGCAAATAGTTAAGATTTAAGGAAAGTGGCAGTTATTCTTAGTAGCTTAGCCATGAATACAAAATGCAAATACAAGTATTTTACTCTTCCTGTATCTGAAGTGTAAAAAGCCAGTAATCGTTTTGTAAAATGATTTTACCCTTTCTTTGTTTGGTTTGTGAAATAGTTGTAGAATGTCAAAGATAACTACATAAAACAGTTTCTACATATTGCTTGACTCGTCAAATGCACAAATATTTTCAGCTATAATACTTGCCATCTCAACAAGTTATTTTGCATGCAATTATGTTTATTGAATTTTATAACGAAGATCTGCATGTTGGAAACGTAAATGTGTTAAAGTTAAAAGTAATATTTTTTATGCTTAACATGAAAAAGTAAGAAGGTTCAAAATGAGATATTTTATATTTAAAATGTAAACGTGTAGAAACTAAAGTCATATTGTATATACTTACAAGGCTAGGAGTGTAAAAACATAAACACGATTTTTATACTTGAAATATGAAATGTAGGTAAAACTTAAAACTGTACTTTTATATGTTTAAACTATAAAAGCGTATGGAACTAATATTAAACATTAATGTGTTTGAAAAATCTAAGTGAGATGAAATGCGTGGAAATTATGTGTTTGAAATGTAGAGGCAACTAAAACGTTAAAAAAGTAAACCTTATAACTAGTGTATTTTTTGTGCCTACAATGTAAATGTAAAACTAACTTCTCTTGAAGTAAATGAATACTCGTTAAAAGTTGTTTGTTTGTTTGTTTTTGTTGTTGTTTATACACATCAGTGTTAAAAGGCTCTTTTTATACTTTCCGTCCATACATTATATTGTCAAAGGAATCTTGTATCTCACAAGATGATGCCAGGTAAACCTGGTGAAACATTGTGAATAAAATATGTGCCTACAATGTAAATGTAAAACTAACTTCTCTTGAAGTAAATGAATACTCGTTAAAAGTTGTTTAATTTTGTTGTTGTTTATACACATCAGTGTTAAAAGGCTCTTTTTATACTTTCCGTCCATACATTATATTGTCAAAGGAATATTGTATCTCACAAGATGATGCCAGGTAAACCTGGTGAAACATTGTGAATAAAATAAACAAAGTTTTACTATGTACAATAGATAAAAAAACTTGTGTGAATTTCAATAAAACATAGTTCTTTTTAATATTCAATAAAAATGTATCTCTTGTTCTGTGTAAGTGCCATGGCGTCTGGTAGATATCTAAGATTAAGAACAAGCTTACACTGAATCAAAGGTGTGCCACAAATAAGGTTTTAATCTGGATTTAAATATTAAATGTAAGGTTGAAGTGATTGTAACCGTTTCGCTATTAGAAGACAAATATGTCTTTATTCTTTTGTAAAGTTGACTGTTTTTAGCTAGGTGGTTTACATGAACAGAATTTACCCAAATGTAAACAGCATTAGTCCTGCTGTTACGACAGCGGAAGTCATGTGACGCTAGTAACACGTCATGAGCTTCTAGAAAATTCATGTCTGTTCGTGAAGCCTCGAGTGTTTACTAGATGTGCGGTATTCTTGTATATAAGACCGCCAAGAAGTGACAGCAACAGGGGAATTGAATTGCAGACAGAGATAAAGACGGACAATTGAGTCAAGCG